CGGACAAGCTACGGAGTTACTCGCCGTGTTAACCGCTCGACCAAGACACGACGCAAATTTGCCGGGAATCTTTGGAGCACTCCGCCCGACGACGAAACGTCCGATGAGGAACGAAACGAGATAACGTATAGCAAAAGGAGGAGTACGAAGGAAAGAGGAAGAAACGGAGAGGACCGCGTGTGTTTTTACGCGACGTGCAACGCGAAACCTGATTCGTCTTACTCTTTTGGAACGTCATAATTACGCCGTAATTGCGCGTTCGTTATTTGAAGAGAGGAGGTTATGCGACGATTATAACGTATCTTTCCGAGGAAATTATCTAGCAATTTCTCAATTATCCGGCTTTCTCGCTGACAGTGGGCGTGGATCCACCATAGATATAGGAAGACTATTGAAAAACGATGTAAGAACGACGTGTCAACTCGACGCATTCTATTTTTGCTTTTCTTTCTTTTATTCATTATCCTCGACATGTCGCGTACGCGAAGACAGGAGGTAGACGAGGAAGTGAGACTCTCGAAATTTTACAAGGAGAAACAATTAAATTTAAAAAATTCTATATTGTTAGTGCTTAAATATTTGTGTAAATTCATGTATCTACAAAAATATTTTATAACTCTCTAAGAATGAATTACATACTATAAGTTAAATGTCTGTATGAGTCTCTTGTTGGTTATAAGTTATATGTATATTTATAAGACACTATTTATAAGATATAAGGTTTCTAATCTTTATTAGAAATTTTAAAGAATTTTTCGAACTGGTAGATATCGGTAAAATAAGTTGAAGTGAAACAAATATAGTTTGTTCGGTAAAGAACAGATCTATAATTTAAAAACAATGGGAATGTTCTCTAAAATTAGCTGTAAACATTTCGCGTTTGAATTTGAAGTCTTCTCAGTATGAAAGAAACAATTAAATTATGAAAATAACTTTTGTAACGAAAAGTTCAACGTTCGTTGATCAATGCATGGCTCACGTGTTATTCGTAAGAAAGTTTGCTGAAGATTCTTCAAAATTGACTTCAATATAAGTATTTTAATAAATTTTGTGAAGAGATAAATTTCTATTTTACCTCCATGACTGAAATCTTGTACGCTCATCATTCTCAACAAATTGTACGATGAGGTTCAGCTGTTTTTCTGTTTTAACTCCAAGCCTTTTCGCTTTTGAATTCGTGAAGAAGAATCTAAATCGTACGTCGCGTGTGTTTACTCAGACAATTTTTCATCTCCGCGATCGACGATTCATCGCTGACTGTTCCGTTCATCAAGTCGTAAAAAAATCTCTATACAAATGCGCGCGGATTCGTTCCCTTCCCGCATTTGTCCTCGACACGTGTCACTCTTCCCCTCCACGCGGAGGATGGGATAGTGGGTGGAATGTCGTTACACGCGTGCCGGTTCTCTTCCCGAAGAGAGAGAAAGGAGGGAGGGAGAGAGAGAGAGAGAGAGAGGAGAGAGGAGACACGTTGCGACGTCGGGTGGATGGAATGTCTTCGATGCACCCAACTCTCTCTCCTTTTCGGCGTTTAACGCCGTGGTGAAACCAGTTTCTGTTTTCTAGAGAAAATTAGAATTCCTACTAACTAGATAATAAAATTGCGGCGGTTTTCATCTCGTACAATCAAGATATGACGTATCCTCTTTCTTTCGCCTCTTCGCCTGTCCAAAGCACAGACGGGCGAATTTGTTTTGCCTTCCACAGCTTTGTTTTGTTGCACGAAGATTTGTTGTGCAAAAATATCAACGAACGGTTTTGTCGAAGTATATTTAAAAATTTAGTTATATACTTAACTTATAAATACAAATTTGAAAATAATTTCGTTAAATTATTAAAATAATTATGAGAGACGGTAAAGCATGATGAACTGAATGATGCAAAAAGTTTTGATATATTTGCAAGCTTCAGCGTTCTCTCTCTCCCTCTCTCTCTCTCTCTCCCTAGATATTTATTTTAATAGTCTACATATATCAAAAAGTAAACTTTTTGCTCATCATGCTTGGATTTCCTACTTAACTTCTTTGATAGTCTAATAAATAAGTTATTTTCATATCTACATCTAGCTAAATTTTTAGATGCTAACAAAATTATTTCTTCCGCGTGTAGTTTTATAGAAAATAAACAAGTTAAATGTTTGTGCACAGTAAAAGATGATTAAAGTTCTGTTAAAATTGTTACAGTCTTTTCCGGTTGAATCTCTCGTTCATAATTTCGAAATTATCGATGATTTGTTCTTTCACAAGACAAGATAGAATGCTTTTCGTCGAGAAACTTTATTTGTGAGGATTGAATCATCCACTGTATACACGCCGCACGAGTCTATAGTTCAGCACGTCCGCTTCCAGTTTCGGACAGGTTCGCCGCGGGCGAGACTCCGCTACTGTTAGACTACTTGCCGGTTCCACATAAGGTCGTAAAATCGCGTCGAGAGCGTTGTACGGAATTCGAATTAAAAGCGTATTTCTCGAAGGTAATCCGCCGGTGTTTCCTTTGCATATAAAATGAGATATAAAATGTACATCCAATCGCGACTGAACGCGATCACTGCGTTGCAGGCTGATTAAACGACTGGTCGATAAGGAATCCTATCACGGATCGACTTGCTAGATAAGCTAATCGATGATTTCTCTATAACGGAAGTGCTTCGACTATCGGGAAACCTGCAAGTAATGTCATGCAAAATGCATAAGAATTTCTTAACTTCTGCAGAGATAAATTAAAGAAAATAGTAGATAAAACGGTGGATTAATTTCTACTTTCCTTGTTAGCTTCTCTCTTATCAAATTTGATTTATTTAATAAAATTTAGATTGTTTTTAAAGTTAAAAATTTAAGATACGCGTAATTTTTAGAAAAAATATAAAACAATCTTTTCTTCGCGATTTTTAAAGGAAAATTAGAAGAAAGATTTCCTTTTCTTTTTTTTATTTTATTTTTATTTTTTTTTTTAGAAAAATGGAAATATTTTCTTGGATTTTTTAAAAATGATAATAAAGAGGATACATTATTGAAGAGAAAATATCCTAATTCATTAAATATCACATATAACTTATTACATTTATATACGAATAACCGTTTAATTTATAATTTAGTTTTATATTATCTCTTTCTGAGAATAAGTTAGGCACGTTAATATGACCTTCAATTCTTATTCTATCGGATATTCAAAAATGTATGCCGAGCATACAGGCCGAGACAACGTTCTCGCATGTAACATTTGCGACAGACCCGTTAGTCCTCGAGCGTCCTCATCTTCTCACTTTTTCCCGTGTAGAACTTCCGTGACAAGTACGTGTATTTCACCTAATGTTACGTACACAGCACGTGGCCACACGTGGCGAGTTTCGTGAGACGAAAGTTTTCAGTCAGAAAATAGTGACAGACAGCTGATCACTTAATCAATCAGCAAGAACCAATATTGGGGTATTTATGACATACCATTGTACGTACTTATTATACACACATTAGTTTAGTTCAGCAGAAAAAGTAGCTTTGCAGTTATTGTATTAAGGTTCTTTAATATGATTGGTTTATGTATAATTAGGTTTAATGAGGAACTAAGGACAAGACAAATCATATTACAAAATTTTACAACAGTTGCAAACTTTTTCTATAGGACGCAACTTTATCACTGAATTATTAGTGTTTGAGAGCCTAGAAGATTTTTTTTTATTTCTATTCCAGTGGCAGTAAATATGAGATAAATAAATATAAATAAATGAATAAATATGAAACAAGTAAATATAAAAACATAATTGTTGCACGTAAAGATATAAGTAAACATTTATTTATAAGCATTAGAAATTATTAATTAATTTTGCTCAAACCAAAATTTACCTGCTTTACGCTGTAATTAAATTGTCGAGCATTAAAGATCATTTAATTTCTTAATTTTCTGTTCTCCAAGAGAAATACTTCCAACAAAAGACTATCCAATGAAACAGCATCGATTATCACAAGTTAACACAATTGAATCCCACATTCGTGTTGGGTGTCCTGTATATCATTAATATCTGATGGAAACAATTCCATTGTTTACTGATGTGCACGATGAAATGCGCAATTATAACTTCGATCGCGGCGGTGGACCATTAAAAACCTCGTTCTTCGTCGAGATGAAAGACGAAAGAGCGACTCTCTCGCTCGAATCCTCGTCCTGGGTGTGCGCGACTCCGGTACATAATTTATGAAATATAAATCCAGAAGAAAGCAACCCTCAACAAATTTGACCACACCTCACCACGCCCCCTCGCGTGGTACTCTCGGTCTTTTCCACCCTCGACATACCCTTCCTGTCTTCCCTCTTCGTCCCGTAATTCTCTGCGTCCGTTCACACCGGTAAAATAATGCGCCTTCGTTTTTCTGCCGCGGTTCCTTTCGCTCCGGGTCCTTTGTCTCTCCGCCTCCGTTTGTCCGTCTGTCTCTCGTCCTGCGGCGTTCCTTCGCGGGCCTGTGTGTGCCAGAAGAGCCATTAAAACGGTAGAGCGGTCCAAAGCGACCATGGAGAAGACCAAGAGACGAATGACGTCGGAAAGAAGAAGCAGGGAGGGATAGGGCATAACTGACTCATTTGTTTGGTGAATCGACTTTCCAGTCTCGCTGGCCTCAGTCTCATCCACGTGTCCGTCATTACGTTTTTCTCTAATTGCATTCTCGTCTGTTACTTCTATATCTTCACATCGCGGGAAAGTTTACTTAAAACAAATTTAAAGAATTTCAATATTTGATGTTCAGTTTTGTGATTTTTCTGTTCTTTAAATCCTATTACTGATTTATTTTGGTTTTTGTTTTCTTGAAATTAGATATCTGTTTGAAAAAAATATTACTAAGAGCTACTATCGAAATTAAAACTTTTATCATATTTTTTTATTGTCTTTCTTATTTTTTAGAGCATTATACTCTCTTCAAAATTTCAGTAATAAAGAACACTGTTGGTATAAGAATTCTCAAAGCTCTCATGTAAATCCATGAGTTTAATTATTTCAAAACTCTTTTTAGGATTCTCGATAGTGAAAGCGAACACCTATATTCTATGTCGACCGCTACCTAGTTCGGTATTAATAACTGACGATTTCGAATTCATAATCATTTTTTGCGGTTGGCAAGGATCGACCCTGGGTGGCGGTGCCTTCTTCGTAGGAATGGTCATTAATTATTATGCCCGACAGTGTGGAGGGGAGGCGCGAGAGTCGAAGTGGGCGAGGACGGTGCAGGAAGGTTGAGAGAAGGCAAATAAGTAGAGAAAGAAGAATGCGCGAACTAACAGTCCTCGAAATTAGGCAAGAACAAACATTGGCCTCATTTTGCGCCATGAGTTTGCAGTTCTGAAAAATATTTGGCATACGCTGAGAAATCGAACTTGATAATCGATTGATTAAATCGTACTGAGCGAACTTTTTGCGCAAAACTTTATATTTCTTCTTCTATCTTATTACATAGTGCAGCAAATTATACTTAATAATTTCATAGTATTAATTCATCTGCAGTCTATCCGTTGGTCCAGTTGTCCTCGTGAAGGAGGATGAGTACAATTACTGGACTTTGGCCTAAACGATGGAACTTTCTTTCTTACTAAAAATCGCACTACATTAACACAATTTCGTCAAAATCTGATCTTTGATTGCAATTTTCAATATTTTTCCATTAATTTAGCTTGAAATTAACGTTTACAAATAAAAAAATAGAAGAAAATATGCATAAGAGAGATTCCATCATTTGGACCAAAATTCGATAACTTTATCCAGCCTCCATTCAATGATTTACAATTAGCTTCGTTGTATTTTCGATAATAGAATCATGATTCATAGAATATATCAGACATAGTTTTCGACTATCTATTGATAAATGCATGAATTATCGCGCAGTTATTACTCTCAGCTGCCCGTTATTTGAATATTAATTTTTTGTTAATCTCGGGGAGTCTATTTTTATCTTATTGTAGAGTTTATTTTATCTTAAATTATTAACGCAATTGTGTGTGTCGAAGTATAATACTCCCGACGCGATTATACTCGATGATGAAACTATAATATATTGAATGGTATCTTCTTCTTCCTTCCCATTTAGCATATGATTTCACCGCTGATATCATTTGTGCATTCAAAACGATGAGGTCATGTATGCAAATGCATATCCTCCATTTGTTTTATTTTTTTTATATTCTTTTCGACGTAAAACGAGTACCCACACATTCTCTTTCTCAGAACTTACGAAACGCGTGTTGTTCTTCTCCTCAAGTACGCTATTAGGAAAGATCGGAATCGGCATAATCCCTTTGTAAAACTCACATCATATCGTGTTTGCCTTGTGTGTTCGCTTGATGTGGCCTTATTGTTACCCTCACCTGGACTATATCATTTTAGACGGTTCCTTTCGTGGCTGCGGCGTGAACCCTCCGAGCTGTCCAGGATCCTGTCTTAAGTGACGCGAGCCAGAGGCTGCTATTTTGACAGACGAAATTACACGGCTCGTGACCGTAATCAAATTCAATCGCGTCTCTATCGTTGCGTCTAATAGCGGCCTGCCCGCATTGTGTGTTTCATCGACCCAACGACGAGATCTTACCGATTCTCGCGCGCGTGGGAGGATCGTCGTCTCTCCTTCTTTTCTCTCTCGGGCCCCGGAATGTCACGGCCATTATGTGAATTTACCGTAAATTTCGTATTAGGGCCTCTCGCCCCCTCGGTATCACGCGGGGCGCGATATAATCGACCATTGGGACCTCGGCGCCACACGGTGGTCCCCCTATCTCGCACCGCGACATAAATCGGTCGATTTTATCGATGGCCACCACGAAAAAACCCCGAGTGCGTTCCGCTTTGAACGCTTCACGAGTATTCCTCTTTCACGTATGCAGCGTCCAGCATGAGGTCCTTAATTTCGGAGCCGCGCGGTTGATTTATTTTCAAATCACGTTTCGAACTTCTGTGAACGAAGTCGCTATCGCGCATTATATTATTGAGGAATAGTTTCACTACATGCAATCAAAATTCCTTCGCAATAAAATTCAAGTTTATGTCTAATAAATGTAGATACGTACAAAACTATATATACTATTCACTGTTTAAAATATGTATTTGTTAATTGATGTGGATTTAATGAATTTTGTACTTCCGTATAACATTACATTAAATATATTCGGAGTTTTAATGTCTTGTATTTCATCTCGACTCTCAAAGATTATAGGTACTCAAGCCACGAGAGTGGGTTTCGATTTCGACTGGTAGCTCGAGCGAAATTATATTATATTATAATTGGATTTTCGTTTACAAGGTGGACCGATAATTTGCGCGTTGTTCAGATTTCCGTCACAAAGCATGCGCGTTTTCAGGCCTGACGTGACGATACCGCAGCGTCAATCGGGCTGTCGGCTGCATTCGGACCGCGTACACCGCGTATCGTTCTCCCCATGAGTTTAGATAGGGTGTTGGCAGCGGTGGCGAGAAGTGGAACGCGCTCGGTATCTCGATTGGCCGACGAGCTGACGGATCGACAGGTGAATATACAGAGAGGGCTACAAATAGTCCCGTACAAAATTATCGACGGATCTGACGTTCACGGTGGCCGGTATCGTGGTGGACTATCGATGGGGTGGGGAAGAATCCTCATCCTTCCTCCTATCCTTTCATGAAGAGATCAGACGAGAACCAGTTGATCGAAGCGAATTATGAGCAGTTCATTTTATCCACTGACGCTTTTTGGTCCCTTTTAGTTGGGCCGTGTTTGACAGGAAGCGATTTATTTATTTATTTATTTATTATGGCAACTCAGTAGCGGTCGTCGCTGTGTCCAATCGAGATTAATTTGTGAATGATATAAGAACTGTCAATACAAGTTCGCGACGTTCGATCGGAATTTATTTTAGCATTAATTCCGAACACTTAAGTATCATCGTTTTGAATTATTTGTTTTGCTTTCACTCCATTTTTAATAAATGCTCTGCATTTGTTAATTAAGAAAAATACTCGTATTTTCAGTCAAAGCGGATCTTAGTGCTTTAATATCTCGATGTTAATTTATATCAAATCCGATTTTCTGCAAATTGTGCACCAAAATTTCTGCATTATCAGATGATATTAATTTTATTCGAGTCAATCAACTTTTTGTGAAAATTTTTAATAAAGGAAGAGAAGAGCTTTAAGGATTAGAAATCATCTAGAAAATTTAATCTGTGTAAGTTTCAATATGCAAATTTCGATTGAGTTTTGATTGACGATTAGTTATTTTCTCAGACAGCAAGAATTGTTCTGGAACCTGTTTTCAGCCCAGTGTGAAGTTATTCTTGCAGCTCTAATCTTGTTTTACCTTATGGTATGCCAACGCGACTCGCTGCGTGGGTATATTTGCGTTTTGTTGGATTCATTACGACGGGCAGGAGAACGATTCGCGTCATAGGAGAAGGAAAGTTATCAATAAACACGACTGACGTAAAAACCGCGAAGATATGTTCCGAGATTGGAAAGGAGAGATCCCCGAGAGGGGAAAACAGGACCGCTTTTAGCCTTATCGCTCCGACAGCCCTAATAGGACGCGAGAGATGCGCGTTTACCGCTCCAACGCCGAAACTTAAAAGATAAGGCCAGATAAACAGACGAAGAACGAGGGTCCGCGCTGAACACGAAAGTTTGAATAATTATCATACGTCGGGGTGCAATCGCGTAGCATGGAAACATGTAATACTCTCAAGCACTGGCTTGATGGATGAATCTAGATATACCGTCCGGTATATGTGTAGCATGAACATTAACATAAACATTACTCAACATTATCGCGTCCATAAAATTAAAGAGATTTACGCTTCGTTATTACAAACGTATTTAGAATATACGTTTCGCTGCGGATCGTCCAACCGCGGACAACGAGACACTCCGAAGATTCCGCCTCGGGCTCGTTTGCCAACATATTGGTTAATGCCAATTCTGATTAGCGCAATCTCCACGTCCTAATTGGCTCGAGCTTAAATCTAAATTGCCGCTGAGTCGATAATCCCTAAATTAATTTGACCGCGGTCGGCAGACCAGCTGTAAAGTCCACATTGCAGGTAGAAACGCAATCTCGCGAAACGTGAACAGAGATTCAATTAACTCCTACCTATCGGTACGCGGTTTATCCCTGCCACTGCGGTCATGATGCAATGCAGAATTCCTTGCTACACCCCTGCGTGATAGTGAGGACCGCTTTTCGAGATCTTTCACTGGCAAAGGCCTCGCGAGTTGGCGTCCCGCCAAGGTCAAGTGAGATCCTTTACAAGAGCGGAACGGGACAATCCGCCCCGTATGCAAATGCAATTTCGCTCGCACCCGCGCGCGTCCGTTACGATTGGCAATATTTCGGGTGTGAGAAATGGGAGGCAATCTATATGTAAGTAAGGCCTCGGACGGACGCGCGTAAGGACCGTGTTTCTCCCGAGGACGGCCTTTTCGCCCGAGGGAAAGAGAGAGAGAGAGGGGCAGCTGGGAGCCACCTTGCGAACGAGATAGCATCTCGAGAGGATCGGTAGCCGCGGAAGCAAGGGCGTAGATCATGCTAATGGCATTCCGCCGATACGACGCACGCTCTCTATGCCATCTCGATTGCTATTGATAGATACCGTGACGCGGATACGCGAGTATTCGAGCGCTATCACGCGGCTTCTCGCTCTCTTTCTCGCGTCGTAAATCTCTGCGCACGATGATAATTGAGACATGGAAAAACGGGTAGATTAAATGTCGGAATAAATATACCGACCTAGCGGTGAATCGGCGCGATCCTAACGAGCAGACGTGACCATTAATCCGTTGTCGGGACAATTGGCCTCGATTATAATTATGTTCTTACGATTTTCTTTGTGGTTGATACTTGATATATCTGTGTGTTGATCTTTTATTAATTTACAATCTTTTGGATTTGGCGACTTATTACTTTAAAAAGGTATAATTAGGAAAATTCTGTTAGGTTTAAGTAGGGTATTTCGGATTATATAGACTATTACACTACAGAATTTAGTTTCGGACAGATATAGTTTTGTATCTTCGAATAATACGACAATAAACAATAATTGTTAAATTACTGCTTAAATTCTTTGAGCTTTGTTTCCAGTTTCTCTCTATATATCGTATTCCTTAAAAGTGACAATTAAAAAAATTTCTCAGAAAAAATAAAAGTTATTTTTTGAACGAAGTGTCATAAGATAATGTGAACCATTCTTTAATTTTTAATCTGACAAAAAATTATTGATTGTGTG